GCCCCTGGAGCCTGTTTCAGCGGGGGGATGGCAGGCATCCAGGGACTTTCCACAGCCCCCCAGAAGCCTCATCCTTGGGTCTTCCATGGGGAGGGAGGTTGTCACCCAGGGGGGACTGTGTGGAAGGAGGCAGGTGGCTTTCTCCTGACGCTTTGGGCTCACAGGGAGAAGAGGTCTCCCTGGAGCTGGGCAACACCGATCTTGGGGCCAGGCACATGCCGACGGCTGCGGCTTTTCATGGCTAACGCAGCGGCCTGGTGGAGGTCCTTGCAGTGCGAAGGGGTGCGGACCCAGCCCGGGCCTGTTCCAGTGCATGCTCAGAGCCGTCTTCTCTTCCAGTCCGAACTTCTACATCCTGGATGAGCCGACAAATCACCTGGACATGGAGACCATCGAGGCGCTGGCAAAGGCGCTGAATAAGTTCCGGGTAAGGCTCCCTCTGTGACATCTCCCGTTCTTCTAACGCTGCCTGCAGCCTACAGCCCGGGTTACTTGGTATCTCAGCCGGAGGTGGACAGTCGAATACCAGTGATGGCTCCAAGTCCAGGACAGATGTTGGGGAGGGTCAGGCAGATTTCTGCCTTAGCCGTCCACCCTGGTGGTTTGTTTTGCTTGCTGGCTTTGGCTAGGGGTGGCTGAGAGAGGCAGCAGCAGACCAGAGAGCACCTTGACCCCCCATCTTGGCCAGCCACCTAGCCTCTGTGACTCCTCGTGCGCTGCAAGCAGTGCTCAGCCCTGTCTCGGGGCCTCTCGGCTCTTCCTCAGGCCTGATTTGTGGCTGATCTCCACAGACTCAGTCTCCAGACACCACTGTCATCAACCTGGCCTTCACCCTTTCGAAGTTGCTCAGGCCGGGGCAGCTTTCCTGTGGAAGAAAAGCTTGGTAGAGGTTGTTAGGGGCCTTGTCCAGCCACCTCTTGACTGTCGTTGACTCCAGCTGGAATCTCCATCCTTGAAGTTGTCGGAGACCTGGAGAGCCAGTAACAAACCCTGCGCTTGCCTTCTGGGAGGGGAGGCTAAAACGTTACCGCTGCCCGTGCCTCCTCTGTCCGTGGTCTGTCTGTGCCCCAAAGGAAGGAGAGGCTGGGGTTAGGGCCCTGTCGCTCAAATACGGTTCAGCTTTCCCTGGAGAGGGTGGAAGCCTGAAGTCCTGGGCGCAGGCTGGACGCAGGATCTCCATGCCACCAGCACGGGGCCCTGGGTTGTACCCTGCTGAGCTCCCCCCCTTGTGTGTTGGCAGGGGGGTGTGATCCTGGTGTCCCACGACGAGCGCTTCATCCGCCTGGTGTGCCAAGAGCTGTGGGTGTGCGAGAACGCCGCCGTGACCCGCGTCGAGGGCGGCTTCGACCAGTACAGGGACATCCTGAAGGAGCAGTTCCGCAAGGAGGGCTTCCTATAAGGGAGGCGGGAGCTGGACTGCGCCGGAGCTCGGCC